ATTTCCAAACTCCTTGCTCCCTAGAGCCCGTAGCAACGCTACACACATCCCATCACCCGATACGAGCTTTTAATTCTTTCTCATCACAATGTTCAGGATGGTCGTAACTACTCGATACATTCGCCTGCTGGTGCTTAAATGATTAGTGGTCGTTTCTTATTGTAATGATCGTAACTAGTGATTCTTGATGGCGCTAGCGCTTAACCACCACCAGTTCCGATGGTTTTGACAAGTATGAGATAATGAAACCGAGTTTCCTGGCAGAATCAGACTATATTTGCCTTTAGCTTTTATTCTCTTCAAGTCACAAAAACGCCAAAAAACACTCTATTTGTTTGCAGTAAACTTACCCTTGCTGTCTTCACCAGTAAGCTGAAGCACTTTGTACGGAATATTCATCTCGTCAAGCTCCTTGGCAATTCCCAGCTCAGCTCGTAACGTGTTAAGCGAAATAAACTCCCAATTATCAAAATATTTCTGCATTTCTGGATCTGGATCCGCATACCAGTCGTCTGCGCAATGGTTAAAAAATCAGAAGGAAAGTAAGATCACCAACAAAAACAAATGGCGTACATCGAGAGAAGTCCTTGTCTCGTGTGTCAAAGTACGACATCATTTGCTCGTACGAGTTAAAAATTCTCTTGTCACTTAGCAGTTGCACAGCAGGTTTGAATGTGGGATCAATGTGTTTCATCATGAGCTTTTCCCAGTCAATTGTTTCAAAAAATGGATGCTCTATAAATTCAACAAACCCCTTTTCATCATTGCAGCCGAGTCGATTTTCTGGCAAAACCTCCAATAAGCGTTTCAGAAAGTCTTGGGCATTTGGACTAACATGCGACGGGAACGTCACACATTGTGCCATCCTTTCAAGTTCAATTTTAAGTTGTGACCGTGGAGAAAGCCCATAAGTTTCATCGTTGGCCAAGTCTTGAAAATAATTGCCGGTCGACGGTGAGGTGAACGGCCGAAAACCGCACAACAACTCAAACATCGTAACACCGAGAGACCAAAAATCAATCGCGTAAGTGTACCCTTGCCGCTCATTACGTTTCATTAATTTTCCAGATACAATTTCTGGAGCCATATAGCCACGTGTACCGACTGTTGTTCTCCTGCGCGTTAGTTTCGGCTGGATTGCCGTGTACCAAAACTCTCCTGATTCTTCCTTCTGCAATTTCAGTGGATCAAAACCAGTGGCAAGTCCCATGTCGGCTAAAATTACGTGTCCATCTTCCCCAAGAAGTACGTTGCCAGGTTTCAAGTCTCGATACAAAAGCCCCAGCTCGTGCATATGGTTAAGAGCTAACCCGATCTCGGCTGCATACAGTCGAACGCGGTCTTCATGGATATAGCCTTCTCGACATGCTTTTAAAGCGTCGCTTAAGTCGCCACCACGCACAAGCTCTGTTACAATGATTGCGTGTGCTGAAGTCTGGAAGCTGTAGTGCATATCTAAGACAAACGGGTTATGGCAAATTTGTAAGATATCCTTTTCTGAAGTAATCTGGCTCAATTGATCGTGATGTTCGTCCAGTAGACCAGTCTTCAGCTGAATTTTCATCGCTGAAAGATCAATATATAAAGTGTCTAAAATCTTGATAGTTTACATATTAAAAAACAATTCTTACCATAATGTTTGCCGGTAGACTTCTTACGCGCATGCACAACACGACCAAAGCCACCACTACCAAGAACTTCCAAGTATTCAAAGTCTTCAATTGTGACTTTGTTGTATGTATCCTTCAAGTCTTTTTTGAAAGCTTCATACTCTGGTGAAGCCTTAAAACGTATAAACGTGTTTTGACACATATCGGCAACGATATTAGCCATTAAGGGATCAAAAAAATCTAACGTCGCACTCGCGCCATGATTTGTATCTAACTCCGCGATTTGCTTCTGCAAAAACCAATGTATACTCAAGTTACTAATTAAGGTAAAACTTTCACACACAGTAAACTTACGTCGTAATGAGTGATAAGATCAGAAGTGATACTTCCTAGCGCCATAGTCGATCCATTTTTAATATATTTGCGGTAGATGAGCTTGGCCATCGATTTACGATATCCGGAGGATGGTGCTTCTCTAAATTCTTTTATCTCGACCCAACAGAAAAACGTCTCGGATGTCATGATTTTCTTTGCAAAAGCGCCGATGTGTTTCTGTCCCACAGGGTCGTGCAGCAGCTGTAGTAATTCTTGCTCATTTGTCGAGGTATCTCTAGCAAATTGATGGGCGATTTTCCATTGCGTCTTGGCAGCTACTAATGGTGCTTGGTGTGGTTTATTGGCAAGATTAAGAAAAGCCGTGACAATTCGTGACGGTGTCTGAAGCCGTATATAGTTGCCCGAATCCTTTGTCATAGAGGCTCCAGCGCCCATGGTGGAGCCTGCCAGCTACAAGATGTAAACGCGACACGAACACGATGACAAGAAAATTTCGCTACTTTAGAAGACAATGAAACCAACCGACGAGATCAAAGCTGTAAATATAGCAGCACAATTGGTATAATTAATTAGCAGGATGAATCTTAGTCTATCACGGAAAACAGCTCTTCGATGATCTTAACTTACAGATTGGTTGATCATAATAAATATAAAAAACAAGTGCAAGACAACTTTCAAATCAACACCTGAAAACGTGATGATGTGGTAAGTGGTCTCTTAATTTATCTTTATCAAAATATTATGAATATTCTACAATGGCAACCATTCCATATAACACTTCCAAGCAAGAACTGCATGGCGGTTTATCCCATATCATTGAAGATGTGGCAAACCTCGCAAAAACGGACGGACGACTTTCCTTCTTTGCCTTTCCACGACTATTGCAAAGTTGCCACATGGCTGCGTATTGGTAGCCAGAACTTCCACCGAATTCGTTGCAGGTGAAAATTTTATTTTGTGTTCGATCATATACTGTAACGGTAATAGAGAAACTCGTATGACACATTGTCTCAACTACAAACGTTGACTATATTGTGAAGCAAACCTATCGGCGTACAGGTACATGTTCTCTGCTTAGTTCACTACCCATTTGGCCAAGAGGTGCACGAATATCTTCACCATGCCAAAGCATGAAGAAATCAAAACGATGCACCTTTACCGTCATTTGGACCGCATCGAGCGTCGTCTACAAGAATTAGGATATACGAGCAAGGACGTGCCAGTTGATCCTGAACAGTTAGGCACGCTCGATTCACTGCATTTCTTCGGGGATGAGCCAATACGCAACATTGTAAGATTGCTGGCTAATACTCCAGAAGACAAAAAAGTGCTAGACATTGGTACGGGTTATGGAGGTACCGCTCGGTTGTTGGCACACCGCAGTGGTTGCAAGGTTGATGCCTTGGAGTTGCAACCGGATCTAAGCGAGGCCGGTCGAGAACTTACTCGGCGTTGCGGGCTTGACAGCCACGTCACACATCTGAATGGGGATTTTCTGGAGCTTTCACTACAAAAAGAGGAATACGACGCCGTGGTGAGCCTGTTGTGCTTCTTGCATATTGGGAATTGGCGTCAGCTCTTCAAAAAGTGTTTTGACATTCTCAAACCAGGTGGTTTCTTATACATCGACGACTTTTTCGTCCGTGGGGTGGAGTTGACGAAAGAGGACAAATTAACGCTCAAGCAAGATGTCTATTGTGCCAACTTGTTACGTCAGACAGATCTTCATGAAGTCCTGAAGGACTGTGGCTTTGAAGACATTAGTTTTCAGGACGTGACGACAAAGTGGCTGCCTTATTTGACGAATCGTGCCCTTCAGTACCGTGCATCTTTGGACTCACACATCGCTCGCGATGGTGAGACCGCAGCTCGTGACCTTGAACATTTCTATACTAGTGTAGCTCGTGTGTTTCAGGGTGGTAATGTTGGAGGCTACACGTTGATCGTGCGTAAGCCGCTTTGATATCGAATGGAAGCTAGTTGAAGTAATGAAAAGATCACTAGGATGTTAAAAAAAAATGGTTTCCCTGCTGCAAAGTTTAATTACACATCAACTAAAAAGTATCACTCCTTACATGACGCTCATGACACTTTCATCCTTCACCTTGACCTCCCTGTCCATCAACTGCTTCTGCAATTCGTTCTGGTCTTTCTCCTCATGCTCCTCGGATACCTGCGTGAAAGCCTTCAGCAGCGCCAGCGCATGCTTTGGCTGGTCCAGAGGCACCATGTGGCCCGCCTCATACACTTGTTGAAAAGCAAAGGGACCAACTTGGCGGATACGACCAGCCTTTTGGCCATCCACAATCCAATCCTTGTCCTCGGCGGCCAAGAATTCATCATGCTGACTCCATGGCAGTTGTAGCGTCCAAGCCTTACATCCCATCCAGTTGACTATAAAATCGGCGTCTCCAGCATATACAAGGCCCCTAATTCCTGCTTCGAGCATAGGCGGCACCAGTTGTTGAAAATTCTTCATCCAATCAAAAGAAAAACCGGCGTGGACTTCCATGTTGCAGCTCTGCCACTTTGCACTTTTAGGACTCACGTGCAGCTTCCGTAAAGTACTTTCAAGCCTCAGAAACTTTTCAATGTGGCTGAAGTCGTAGCACATTGGCCAATGTTGACACTTGGACCTAATGTCGTAAACATTTAGCCCTGACATCGTATAAGGCGCAACCAGCGCAGCATTGCAAAATGTTTGCGCCGCTAAACACGCCGCTTTGGTCGTCTGACAGGCATCGATCATGCCAACACAGGGAGGCACAGCTGCCTTCATAGCTACATAAACGGGGTATGACACGGCCTTGACTCCGTACGTGTTATTGTACGCCATGTCCGGGTAGTACTTGTATTGCACTTCAGGGTCTGTGAGCCCATTACCAATGCCAAATCCCTTCAAGTTGATTTCCAACGGTCCTTCCTTCTGCTGATTACCTTGAAAAATTCTGTGCGCAATTGCAGGGACGTAATGGCCAGCGTAACTCTCGCCAAAGACGTAAAATGGTAGCTTTTGGTACTCTGGTTTGGCCTGGAGAAACTCTTGTAAGAAATGGTACATGTCGTCGCCCACTTCCTTTTCCGATGTATCGTACTCGCTCTTATCTCCATAGCTAAATCCAACACCAACAGGTTGGTCGATCCACATGACGTTGGCGCGTTCATTCCATGAATACGGATTCCTTCTCAGCGACAGATCGTCGTTGACAGAGCATGGGCCATTTTCCAGCAGTAAGGCTAAGGTTGAGCTACAACCTGGTCCGCCAGTGAGCCAAATGATCAGCGGATCAGTCGATGGGCTGCCTCGCGACTCGAAAAACCAGTAAAAGTAGTTCTTAGACTTAGAGCCCATGATCTTAAAATAGCCACTCAACTGCTTAGTCGAGTCGCAGAAGTCTTTGTCTACGGAGTTCACGGTGAGATTGTAGTCCGTGTAAGAGGCGCTAGTAGCGCTAGTAGTGCACGCTAGTAGCGCCAAGACGAGAAGAAGCTCACGCATTATCACTTCAGAAGGGAGGATAGAGATCTTAACTTTAAAAAAGGAAAATGTTGTGATTATATGGGTCGCAACTTGAATAACAGTATAGGGATCTTTCTGGGCGCTTATATTTGGGCTAACGGAAATAAAATGTATTTGAATGATATTATCTATACGGGGAATACTGAAATAACAAAACGGCAGCATAAACCGGTAAATCTCTATGCTTTATTCGAGGCGAGATTTATAGAAACAAGCGACACTTAAAATTTAAATGACTTCGATAATATCTATTCCGATATTTCGAGCTAAATGTATTTCAAACTATCAGTATGCTGACAATGTCTATGAATCTTAGCGAAATAAAATGTATTTTACCACAGATATCTCAACCAGGTTTTAATACAAAGAGATAAAAGCAGCACACCTAATTTCTTAATCATCTTTACTTTTCTTAAACACAGCACCACACACGATCGCTCCAAGCGAGTATAGTATACGTGCGCGATCAATTGAAATGCTCGAAATGCAGACCCGCACTGTGTTTTGTGAGCATAAGCAAAAGAGACACAATTCCTTACGACATGATCAGCACAAATACATCTTCACTATGCGCAATTTAGATAACAGCAGAATACGCGAGTTCGCAAGACAATTTTCAAATGCCAGGGCCACAGCCAACATGCAGACACAATGCTTGCTGTCATAAAGCAATAAGTTGCGATACTCTATTTGTGTAACGATAACACACAGAAACAAGAAGTTCAATTACTATCCCGACTAAGCTATGCATACATTGTCACCTGTATTGATTGAGTCCCTCAGTATAATTTGATTTCTATGGATGCGTTCTCATCGTATAAATCAGTGTGGTGGTACAATTATCATCAGTGGAACCCGTTGTCGACGGTAAACAGATGCGCAGTACTCTTTGCGTTCTTCAGGAAAAAATTAGAGTTTAGTTAGCATCACATTAACATCAAAAGATGCTTCGATGACTTAAATAACTTTTCATCCTCAGAACACAAGATGCAACACCCAAGCAAAATGAAAAATGAGGTGAGTTAGTATACTTTTCGAGCTCCTCGCCAATCATTTTTGCAGGTTGACCCAGAACTTACGGGTTTGAGCTCACGAACCCATGACGATACCTGCTACATCTGATATTAATTTCATCTATTCTTAGTCATTATAGTACCTCCTGAGAGTAATGATCATACGTATAGTAGCACAAATTAATCTCCACGCTTAATATAGTTATCTACACACGCTTGCCAATGACCAGGCTAGTCCAAAGACGATTATTATTATTATCGAGCGCTACTATCAAGCATTTATTCCATGAAATGGGAAATCTACTTGCACCGTATGACCTAGCGACCAAGCATTCGCAAGAAAAGGCTTTTGACAATGCACTTCACCTCAGCACTGAGTCATTGCAAATGTTCAAAGAGTTAGGCATGGAACGTAAACATCTATTTTCTCTCCACCTAATATTTTCTGCCATGGATAAAGGTGAGGAGTCTTTGCACAAGCGTACATGATTTTAGACTAATATATAGCGAGGAATAGACAAATCAGGTGAAATTAATATGATGGAGTTCTTCGACTACATTGGTTTGTATAGCTTTATTTGTTATGACATCGCAAGGAATCATCAAAATGCTTTGTTACGATATGTAATTAGATTTGGAGCGGAGTCGATTTTCCGAAAAGGCATTTTCTGTAATGGATCGAAATGGGAGTGGCGAAGTAGATTTTGTCGAGTTTGTGCTGGCCGTATGGAATTACTGCTCGTTTAGCAACGTCAGTCTAGTTCGATTTGCGTTTGATCTTTACGACGTTGATAGCAGCGGCGAAATCACGCATGATGAGGTGGTGAAGTGTGTTCGAGAGGTTTGGGGGGATGTTTGGGAAACCAACGCAAATGCTAAAAAAGTCGTCGGAAAGCTTGATACATTAATTGGTAATACGGCCAAAAATTGTCTCTCTGCGAGCCTCTTTCAAACATTTGCGGTGCGCCACCCGATGCTATTATTTCCTGCTTTTGAGTTGCAGATGAAGATTCAAAATAAGATATTAGGAAGACGATTTTGGTCCCGCGCAACCGAGAAACGTTCTTCACTTGACGTGGCAGCACTAAATTGGGATTACGTTGACGAAGTAAAACTTTTGAGCAGGCAAACAACGTCAAATATACGCACATCGATGGAGGAAGAACTCAGTAGCCAACTTCAAGTCAAGTCTGCAGGTGTTACATCAAAATGGTTTGGGATGAACTTTAAGATTCCAAAAATATTTTATCGAACAAGACGCACACTATGTACGAGCTAGAGCTGCAAAGAAATCAGTCGGTCTGATTTGAAAAATTACGATCATAGAGTGCAACCAAACCACTGCTTGAGTGTAGCGGGAGAATGACAAAAGCTTACCTCGGTTGTCAATGCATATATGTCGTGATTGCCAGACTGGCACAATTTGCCAGGCTTTAGCATTCCACGGCGTGTACAGCAAACTGAGCACGAACCTAGCATTTTGTATGATACGTTGGTGGTCTAGATTTGACTCAAGGCAGATTTTTCACACTTCGAAAGCTCGTATTTTAGTCGACAGAAACTTTTTCAGAAACGCTCCGATTAAAGCCCATAGGGTACACCTACATGCAATGATTGTTACCAAAACTTCTTGATACCAATGTGAGTCTGCACGAAAGCAAAATGGCAGCGACTCAAACTGGTCATCGACAAAACACAAATTGGGGTGACAATAGCTGTGATTGAGTTATTTACTTCCAGCGCAACGAAGTTCATGCGCAAGACCTCTGCTGTTTTTGTTACAACCATCTCGATTTAATTGCTGCAGGTGAATTGGCGTTTATTTTTTCACCGATTGTGATGGGTCAAGCGTGATGTAAAGCCTTCGTGTCTAAGCACAAGCCCTTGGCAAACGAGAGTCGCACGACATCACCCAGATTGACTCGCTTAAAATTAGTGAGAGTCAGACATAGACGGCGCTCCACTATTGTACAAGACAAGTAGAAGTGAATGACAATTGCCGAGTTAGTGGTCGTCTTACAATCGTTAATTATTTTCATACACCTGATAGAGTGGGAGAAGTCAAACAAGGATCACAATGAAGATAGTGAGTATGGTGCTTTAGTGGCACTTCACAGCAAACAATTTTGAAAGCGGTTGTCTCATCGCTAACAGAAGCTGCCAGGCTTACGTGGTGATAGAGACATCGAGGAGACTCTTCTGAGAAGTGGCAGTTATAGGCAGCAGAGGCCTTAGCTCAGACTTTCGTTGGAAGATCCAAGTCAAGATCCCTGTTTAACAATTTGGTGAAATAATCGCTAAAGGAACCGATTTATTGTAACCACGAAAATAGTAGCTTCTGATTGCCCCCAAAAGTCGACTTTCGGAGGCAAACAATACAGTGGGTCGTCGGCTGGCGATTATAAATGTAAGCAAGTCGGGATAGGATGCATATCGTCGACATGAAACGGCGAAACTTGCAGACTACTGCCGACAACATAAAACTTAAAACCAATGATCAGAATGTGCAAAGTAACGAGATGGAAGAACATGCAAGACTGTCAGTATTACTTCTTTTGAGATATGTGCAGAAGTTACGCAGCGGAAATACGATCAAGCGCAACAAATTAAGTAAATGTTCCGACGAAAATTCGGTACATAATCCACAAGAACAGACAACGATCATAAAACAGAGTCACGTAAAAGCTCGTGATTTTTTGGCAAAACAGAATTTTAGGGTATTGAATATCATACTTGATCATGAGTCTCTTCTTTTATGGGTAATCCCCACTGACCACGAGCGTGTAAAAAACCAATACTCTCCCAGTTGGCTGTTTTGCGCCTACTTGGCCTAGACGATTTCCCGCGAGGGATCATCGTATGGAGTCTGACAGCTCGTACCACTCAGTTCATGTAAGGCGAGGAGTTGCTTCATTTTCTGTTATTTTTAATGTTGGCTGAATTTGAAGAAAAAATCTTGTCTTCGTTGATTTTTTATTAGTGTCCCCAACAACCAATGAATTACATCTTTACGTTGAGTGCAAGGTTTTTCGATTAGAAAATATCGTAAGATTTATAAACCAGCGTCTCGTAAAAAGCACACAGCATTTGAAATCGTCCAGACCAGGGTAAGCATTTGGTCAAAGGCGGGTGTGGTAATGGAAAGAAATGTCCAGCGATGCACTAGTGCCGGTGGTAGGTAGAAGTAGTCTTTTTGAAATCATAGATATGTCAATTGGACGAGTTTTATGACAAGGCCGCGATAAGAATCTTTCTCCAGGTATATCGGGATTACAGGCACTTTGCAAGTAAACAGCTTCGGCTCGTTGAGTCCGCGTTAACAGATGCCCAGTCAATGGCCATCCTAGAGCAATTGACCTCCAAAGTACGTAGCAACTAACACTATCATAAATTCAGAGTAAAGCTACCTAAAAATATATTGAATACCACTTGACTACGGACTGAAGGAAGCTTCTTCATCTTTTGTTTTTTGCAGAAAAACGAACGTTCAACGAGGAAACTCATCGCTTGGAATCTAAATTCAACCTAGCATTTTGCCGTTTCTGCTCCTCTGAGCATCCTCACACCACAAGTAACCTCTCGTGCGTAAGATACATGGTCATCAAGTCTCCAGAAATATACGGTCCTTGCGATTTGATATTTCCGAAAACAACTAACGATGAGGATGCTGGATGTTAAGATGATAATGGTCGGGTCCTGAACAAAGTTTCCTTAACCCAAAGGTATGCGGCTTTGCCGCACACCGGTGAGAAGGTGATCATTGTACTCTTTCTATCCTCTGCAAGACTTACATACAATGTGCCCTATTAAACGGCGGGAAGTGCTGAAACACCCAGCCGCGAATGCCGAGATAATGTTGGGCTCATCATCAACGAGTAACTCTGGTATTGGGGGCCATCATAAGCTTAAATGATATGTGCAGCGGGGCTGCCCTATCGTTGCGCTTAGAGGAAGCGTAATTTAGGTCACCGACCTTTCGTTCTATACTTAGAAC